GGGGGACCTATTGCTGACTTAGTTAAACCAAGGAGGACTGATTACAATTTAAGAGGCACTAACATGCTTTCCTTACTTAAGGTTAACAGTACCAAGCATGGTCTTAAGTCATTTCGTTATTTTGCTGCTAAGACTTGGAACGCGCTACCAGATGCTATACGCGCAAAGGCTGGCAGAAGAACGTTTCTTCGCGATATCCGTCGCCTAAAATTTTAAGTTTTTAGTTTTTTTATCTCTGTTTAACAACACAGCTATACAAATATATATTTAAATTGACAACAAAACGAAGACATCGTAGGGAGAAGTTTCATGTTAATCACTACTAGGTGTTAAAGGGTTAAAACTCGTCGTCGATCGCTGTTGTCCACAAAACTAACCACGAAGGCATATTATTTAACATCTTATTCGTAAGTGTGAAAGAAAACCACCAACTCAAGCCAATTAGAATTCACGAAAGTATCGGACGAAACTGTTATCCAAATAAAAGTCATCATATATTTTCTTGCAAAAGGGTGACGTCACAAAACACGATTTGTGTCAGATTTTTGCAGACGTCCCCTCCCTCTTCATTCTGTTTCTCCCCAGGGGGAGGGGGGAAGTTACGGCTACACGTGGGCTTCATTGCTTTTTTCCACTATAGTACTCTACAACTATACTATAGTGGGTACATGCAGTCATAGACTGCCTTTTATTTGTCGTTGTTATTTTCTTGGTGTTGTTTTGTTTTGCTCTACATTTCCTGAAAGACAATTCCAAATGTCCTTGTTGAGTATCGTACAATAACTTCACAAAAACTTACCTTGAATTTCTCTTTTGCGTGAGCTAGGATCCTCGTTCTTTGTAAAAGTACTGCTTTTCTGCTCAGGCGTTGACATAAGAAGAGCCAAAAGCCACTTCAAGTCATTCTTCGCAGTGGTAGATTTCGTGAACTGCTCACAAAGGCTTTCAATAGCTTTCGCAGCAACTCTGATGAAGTAGAAAACAAGACCAAATCCGATAAAACGAACATTGCCTTTGCTTGTTAAAAAAATATATAGATATCTTCACATGTTAAAATAACAACGTCGTCGTAGTAACTGAGTTACCGACACGGGATTTTTACTTCTCAAACTTGTTTTACTTTTTAAGAAAATTAATTAGGTTTAACTTAACTCCATTTTCGACAAAAAAAATCGTCCATGTTAGGAATTATGAGAAATTTATTTGCAACAACTTTTTGCCATTCACAATAATAACTCGCTTCTTACTTCCTGAGTTCAGGGCTAAATTCGGCCAACACTACTTCACCAACGGAACGCAGTTCTTTTTGTATATTTGCTTTAAAGGATAGGCAACGCAAAAGTGATGCCCCTTCCTCTCTCTTCAGGAATATGTAGTACTTTTTGAACACAACAATGATAGCCAATGATGAAACCAATGCAGGCACGTAATCCTTTGACCCAAATTCACATTCGGTCAAGATGGCGATGTTGGCTGCCAATTTTGGTCTCAAACGGTCAACAAATACCTGCAAAAAGTTCAACACTAATCTTAGAAATCTCGATCTAAACAGAGAAGCTGTTACTGATCATTACTGATCAGAGAAGCTGTTACGGCTCAGATTCACTTGAAAAAAAGACGAAAAAGGCCTTCGAATGCAATCATTCCAAGTTCTCGTTCTAACACGAAATACCATGTTCCCTTGCCGTCCTGGCTTTCGCAAAATACGGAGGCACAAAACAAATGAAAAGGAGCTCAGAGCTGTTGAGTGTACCCCTGTGACGACCTGTCAAGAACATTTCTGGTCGAGCAACTGGGTGGGAAATTTGAACGAGGAAGTGTTATTCTTTCTTATTCTTTTTGCTGGTCGCTAATTATCAGCATGAAACTCTACCTATCAGTTACATATCTACCCAGGAGCTGAAGGTTCCATATTAACTAAAGAGCGACAATTCTACCTCTGTATAGTAATATGAACATATAATAAGGTGAACTGATCAATAATTTGTAAGCCGAAAAGTTTCTCTAAAACAAAACAAAATCTATTGTGAAACCTTTAGGAAGTTCCGCTCATTAAGGGATTTGGGTTATCTAGCGTCTGCGTTCTCTAAGTCGAGGTGTCCCTTGAATACAGGTTCGTTTTCAGTCAACAGGGTACTTCACTTATTGTTCACTTGATTCATGGTGTCTGCTGAAATCGGACTCCGCTTATTACAAGTCATTGCTTGATTTATAATAGTTATTGAACTGCGTGGAGTTTGGTCTGAAACCATGCCAGTGATTTCAAAATCGAACGTGCGCGCAGTGCGTGTTTGAATTGAAGTCTCAAGTATGATATCAGACCAAAATTGTACGACCCGAAGTTCAATTTCCTTTTTGTTACATCCATTTTGAAATCGCAAAATTGAGTCGCTCAAATAGAGGATTTTCTTAATGTGTGAAAATAGTTGATTGATTTTAGTACTAAACTGGTTTGTGAAAAGTTGCAAAACTTGTCTTCCATTTTCCTTTAATATTATTGGTTTCTTGAAACAGGCCTTAAAATCTGATTGTTTGTTGTTATAGTAAAGGTTTCTCATTGGCTGGGAAAAGATGCCATTTAGAGCTAAACTTTGCGATTCGAGAATAAATCGCACCGATGTGATGCTCAAAATGGATGCAATAAGTCGATTAAATACTGAAATTTTAACAAAAGGATAAGATAAGCTTGTCATTGCGAAATAAAAACCTGTACGAGACAACCTGTATCGAGTGAGTGGACACTAGCAAGGATCCCCTTCGCGTCTACTTTAAGCTGGTTTTACTGTACCCGTGAAATGATTAGCAATGTGCTTAATGCGTAATCCCATAATACAAAATAAACTTGGGAACATAAAGTATACAATTTACGAATATCAAGCTACTACACAGTCTAGTCAACCTTTTGGACTTTCAAATTGGTGGGCTTCCTTCTGGGTGGCTGAGGATATTCCTGTAGCCAAACATTTGATACACACTCCACAACATGATCTTGTCTCGTCAACGCTTCTGTGGCATTCATCAATTCAGCTGTATCGTTCACGAGAAAGCCTTTCCATTTAGGCAGGAAATATAGCAACGCCATCGTGTTGTACTCATCTTTCTTGTCTATTACTTTTAAATAGGAATTTTTGTCGTGAAAAAATGCCACCCCGTCAAACTGACTCCATGTCACTTAAAAATAAAAGAGGGAAACCTGATTGAAATCGTGCAGACGACCAACCAAGAATGGCAAAATCATCATTTCGCTCTCCATCGGATCAAGGATTGTTGTCTTGCAAAACAAACTTTTATCAACCCGAGTGTACGAGAGTTTCCGTAAACTTTCCGGGGTGAGGCTAGGTGTGGTAGCCTGTTGCTTCAGATGTAAGCTCCGGAGGTAAAGGCCACTCCGCCTGAACTTACTGAAATCTCGGCAAGGATCTAAATGATGCTGTAAAGGGTTGTGCTTTGCATAAAATTTTTAACCAAATTAATTGCTGCAATTGACCTCAACTAATATATAGTTGAGGATTTTCAAAAAATTTATCATAGTATCATATCATCATATTGACAAAAATTGAGTTCATGACAAGAGAGGAAAAATTCAAACCCTAACAGTAACCAAAGTTTGATATGAACTGTTTTTCTGGAAAAGAGGGAAATTCCTTCCCTTACCCTTGGTGCCATCTTCACAACTGCTCGAGTGAGCACTTCTCGAAATATACTCACTACGCCCTTTGCATATCAATTTTGAAATGATTAGAGTAACTTTGCAAATTTTAAGTTGATAACAATGCGGACCCGGCCAGAGGTTATCATGAATCGGCTTTCGCACAGTTTATCCGTTCAATGTATTTAGCACAACTAGCCCAGTGGTGTCTCAGGTTGATCAATTTTATCATAGGGAAAAACGTCCAAAATATTGTAATCAAGGAAAATATTCCAAAATACAACTTACGTTAAAATTAAGAAATCGTTGTGGAAAACACATGTCATTCTCAACTTTGTTATGGAAAGGGCTGTTTGTGCGGTCGTGAAAGTGTCATAGTATCCTGATTCGATGGGCATGAAATCAAGTTTATCCTTTGCCTATCTCAATTACAAGTCAGAACGAAGTAAAAGTATCTTCAACATGAACACATGCCTCAGACTACTTGATTGACTCTTCTGGAAATTTTCGTTTGATGGCTTTAGTAGCTTCCCGGTTAATATTTATCGACTTAGGTAGGAATAACAAAGTGTTCAATGGCAAGACGCGATATGCTACTTACGCTTCACTCTCATCACAGATCGCGCATTACTTACCACCTGGTTGAATATGATCATTCGGAATTTTGAGTGCTCTCGTAACAACAGCATAGCTTCGATGTCTTGATAAAAACTCTGTCAAGTTCTCCCAGTACAGGTTTCCTCCATTGGTCACAACATATTTGTAACTAGTACCCTTGCGAGCTTGATCAGGGGTCAAAGTGAGCTGACCTCGGAAAAGTTGAAGATAATCCTTTTCTTTCTGTTTGCATGGTCTGCTACAGAAAAACAAAACCAATAAAGCTTCATGAAGTTAACTCTGCCTATTAAATCACTTCGTCCATTTCTGGGTGGCTTACACAAATTGTGTAGCCACATTATGGCACGATCGGATTTATTTGTTTATTTATTTCTCCACGAGAGTCTCGCGCCTGTCAAGAGGTCTAGTGCCGTACAACACCAGTCCGAGTCAGCCATCTTGTTTGTAAGCGTGGTCTCGAGTAATTTTTTTTCAGGTGATCGTATCACGAGTTAGTTCTCCTAACACAAGCAAACACAGCCAAGCCTGGCTTTTTGTATAAATACAGCTTGTGCAAGAACTTTTACGCTCTTAAAGGACAACATTTAACTGCTTGAATCTTCGGTACGGGTTGTACTACCAAGTTCAATTAAATATCGATGCTTATCTGAACCATTGTGATAAAATTTAGAAGACTGCCAAGTATACAGGAAGTCATGAAATGTTAAGGTCAAAACAATCCTGGGCATTACTTGGAAAACACAACACTTATCACATTTCAGTCGTACCATTACACTACTGGGCTCTTATAAGCAATGGAATATAGGGATTATGAATTAACATTTTATTTAGCGCAAATTAACATGTGCATATGATCAAATGCGCTTTACAATACCGTGCGGGGGACTTTACCAGACTGCCAGTGGCAGTTTACAATCAATAAAGGCGAATTTTTTTTTTTACAGATGCCCCCAAGTCCCAGTAACCAGGCCAGACCACATCACAGTAATCTCGTGATGTGTGTTCTTTAACGTCCTCTGCCCAACCAAATTATCTAATTAAAGATGCAGGAGACGGGTAAAAAAGGTAAAGTCTGTTTACGAGCCTAGTGGCCCATTAGGCCGGTACTTAACTCCGGTTTCTGTAGCATGAAGCGACTAGGAGTATTTCTACTCCCCCCTGGATGGGATGCCAGTCCATCGCAGGGTTACCCCAGCATTAAATTTGCCGGTACCCACTTCAGAACCACCAACCCCGTCAAAGGAAGTGACGTAGTTGGTGGTTCTGAAGACGACAAACAAAAGCTTAAACAAAGCGCCAGAACCACCAACTACGTCATCAGAGCAAACTCGTTCCCAGTTTCCGGAGACACCGATAACGTCTAATTTAACGACTTCGAGCCACCAAAAAGCCGATTTAAATTTCTTTTCTTGAAATTTCTTTTGTCATTCCTTAATAAGGACATAATAAGCTAAAAATTATGCAAAAAAATTTTTTACTTCATAGGCACTTTAAATAAAACCTCCAGGTAAAATTATAAACGGTATTGGGTTAAAAATTATTAGCACTGTGAATGTAATGTTACTTTAGAGTACCATTCAGCATATGATTCATTAAAATATTGCTTGTGTTCTGGTCTTCTTATGCACCTACCTTTTTTCCCAAAATTCTTCCATTTGCAACCCCATATCCACCCTACCTCTATTGAATTTTTGTTTTTTTATTGAAAATACAGTCCTATAGAACCCAAATCCAATAATTATAATCTCAACCAACTGAACATAGAATTTTGTGCCCTAATGGACAATAGAAACATACGCTCAGCATTGTGTTACTTTACAGGTATGTTTTGTCCAAAATTAGTCATACATTCAAACCAAATCAAGCTCCTAATGGCGTCTAGTGTAGATTATATCATTTCCCGAATGTTCCAGAACTTCCGGAAAGTTTTATCCTCGTGTACTGGTAAACAAAATGCCAAAAATATTCAATTCATCCCTAGAGTTAATTTCACATCACTTGCCCTGGAAAAGACAATCAACCTACAGACTTTAGAACTCAATTCCACTTCATGACTTAAACAAAATCATAAGGGAATCGATCAGGCTACCATGGGAGATAATGTTGACGTTTTTTTAAGTTCCTGAAATCCTTAGGTTACATGAGCAACAGGCCTGAAATTTTTTTTCAGGTCTGATTTTCACTATTGCTCAAATAGTGCTTTACTGCGAAGGATCGTTCTCATATACGTCTCATAACCGCAGTTCACACATATGTTTCATATGTTTGTTGTTGTTTGATTTATCATCTACGGGTTTATATCGAATTAATTTGATGGCCTGCTCCCAGTTGGCTTGTTAGCTCAATTGGTAGAGCGCTGCACTAGTATCGCAGAGGTCAGTGGTTCGAGTCCCGTACAGGCCTAAAATTTTTTTTTTTTTTTCAGGTCTGATTTTCACTATTGCTCAAATAGTGCTTTACTGCGAAGGATCGTTCTCATATACGTCTCATAACCGCAGTTCACACATATGTTTCATATGTTTGTTGTTGTTTGATTTATCATCTACGGGTTTATATCGAATTAATTTGATGGCCTGCTCTCAGTTGGCTTGTTAGCTCAATTGGTAGAGCGCTGCACTAGTATCGCAGAGGTCAGTGGTTCGAGTCCCGTACAGGCCTAAAATTTTTTTCAGGTCTGATTTTCACTATTGCTCAAATAGTGCTTTACTGCGAAGGATCGTTCTCATATACATGAGCAACCTTTGTTGTCAAAATGAGACCTCCATAATAAACTTTGGCCATTAACCCCTTACCTTGAAAATGAACATTTCAGGACCATTGTATGCTATGAAAACTATTTAAACGTAATCAGATATTGGCTCTTCTAATAGAAACTCAATAAGACATCAGATACTACAAGCAGCTCAATTTCGTAAGCCACACATGCACACATTGCGGACCTATTTTTACTAATGAAGTGTACACTCCTCAATAATAATTGAACTGTATAGACGACGCTATTTCATAATGCTTGTTGCTGTATTAGCCTCATTGACTTTGTCCTGGAGATGTCAGTGATTGATCCTTTGCAAAGTGGGAGCAATTTTTTGAACATCGGTGATAGAAACCGCGTCTTAGGAGTTCTTTAGATAAAGGACGGGCAAGAAGGAGCTTACGAATCGACGACCTATTTCTCGAAGACAACTTTTAGCGAAGTCATTTCCCAGTCGTCTCCGCGTGCAAATTAGTGCCAAATACTTTTTTAACGAAAGCCTTTCGCAGGAAAAAGTACGTGAGTCATTCTTCCCTCCAATGAACATTTGACACATCATTCGGAACTGCTGCTACCAACTCCTCAGATGGTCTTGCAATTTCTTGAAAATTTCTTGGTGTTGTTGGAACATCAGGTTTTGATGAGCCAATGCCCTTTCTACTTGTTTCTTTTGGGAATCAAGTCTTTCTTGCTTGAGCTCTCGTTCTTGCACACTTGACTCCCTTTTATTTTGTGTTCGTTTCCTTTTTCGCATGGTTGACCATCCCCAGCTCTTTTTCCTCATGTCTTTTACTGTGGCCTTATCTTGCGCCCTTTGCCAGATATTTCCTCAGAATCTTTTTGTTGCTCTTCTTTCCCCCTTAAGTAATCTATATTTTCATCAATTTTGGTCTTTTTCTAGCGAAAGTCCACAAGCATTTTGCTCAAACTGATCATTCTTCTTAAAATCTCTTTTGAAATATTCTAAGTATACATATAGCAAACTTTTATGAAACATTACAGCCTGACTTTTGCAACTAATTAAAGATCATTCAAGCTTTCAATAACTGGGTCGAGGCAATTTCCTCCCTCGTGGCTTCCAAGGTTCGAACAACCATAATAAGATATCGTGCTTGCTTGTCCTAAATAGCAATCGGTTTTCCGTCAACAGGAGTAGACAATATAATATTTTATGCGATAAACCAAACTATTCAACCGAAAAAACGTCAGTATAAATTAGTGCTTCCACTGCATCGTGTTATTGACCTAAAATTTTGTTCTTCAAAACACTTATTACTTTTTAATTATTACTAATCCCTACCTACTTAAGATAAACAGATTAGAGCGTTTGAATGTTGGTATATTGTGAAGTTGTATCTGGTTGAGAAATACTACTCTCGTCGCACTGCCGTCGAAGACGACTTCTAAACAGTTTTTTCGAAGTCTTGCCCAACTCAAGATGACGTAGCAAAAAGATGCAATATGCAACTTTAGGTGGCGCATGCATGCGTTAAAACTGTTTCAAGTGGCAAGACATCGTTATCGTTTTCTGGGGGGGGAGGGGGTCGTCGATTTGTAAGCTCTCTAATAAAAAGAAGACACAGGACCTTGCCCCGAGTTATCTCGCTCCGACATAACTATGAGCAGAGGTTATGCTTCACGTCTTACAGAATTATTAAAAAGGGGTCAATAAAGGTAATACTTACTCCACTGCACACAAATCTACACAGCTACGTGAAAAATCTCCAAACTCAACCCCACTTGCTCGAATGGAGAGGTGTCTGTCCGTCATTTCAAAGACTGAAGAAACCAGAACATGGAACACTACAGTAACTCCAGCATCTAACGTGACTTGCTGTTGTTTTGGAGGTCTATGATCATGAAATATTAAGGAAAAAGTAATATTAGCAAAGACACGTTGAAAAGAAACACAAATGACGCGGTTTTCTTTCGAACTATTAATATAATAGTACAGGGCCGGGTTGTTCAAGGCTGGGTTAAGATAACCCAGGGTTGGTGTGAAATTTGATTTCAGATCTGAAAGCTCTAAAAGAAAATTCAGCTTAATTCCATTCGTCTACAATTTGATGATTGAATGTCCTAAAATGAATTAGGAAAATTGTACGAAAACGGCAACTGATCAGAGAAATTTAGAAACCTGGATTAAAATTTAACGCTGGGTCAGTGCTAATCGGCCTTTGAACAACTGGGCCCAGTAAAATAGTGATGATAACGATTACAATAACAATAAGAACGAGACTACTGATAATAACAGTAACAGTAATAATGACAAGAATAACAATGGTATATTAAGAGCGTTTCCATTGCATATGTCTCTTCAGTCTTTAACCGAGGGTGTGGTTGCCCTATCCAATTTTTGTTAAAGCCGAGACACACAAGGGGACAAATCGCTGCGACACGTCGCCGCGACAGGTTGCTGCAACAAATCGCCCCGTGTGACGTGTGAAAATCTTTGTCGCTGCGACAGAATTTTGTCGCTGCGATCTGTCGCACAAATTCAAACTGGATTGAATTCGTGCGACATATCGCAGCGACAAAATAAGCTCTGGCAGCCTTGTCGCAGGACGATGCAACATGTCGCTGCGATGTGTCGCAGCGATTTGTCGCATAGTGTGTCTCGGCCTTTAAGCCCTCATGATACAAATCTCAATGTACGCACGGTCGTGTCTTCAGAAGATGACATGTACAATAGCATGTTGCTGCTAAGTTCTGAGCATTTTAACTGCGACTTTCAAAACGGTTTCTCCATTCCACCCTGGTATAGGTAGACCTTTGAAAGCTCAAAATGGAAAGTACATATGCTTTAGTGGACTCGACAGGATGGAATGGAGTCTCACTGAAGCGCGAAGTAAACTCTTCTTTAAGATTGTTAAAAGGGGCTCCTAATCTGACCAAACTTTGACTTTTCGTAGTTCGACAAATTGCTCGAATCTTTCCACTGCAAACAAGATAGCGGGCATTTCTTTTCTTATTATGTACATTGTGTAAGTCGCTGTCACTCATTGTGTAAGTCGCTGTCACCGATTTGTATCGCAAAGACAAGCCATTTTGTATAGGGGCTTTCGAAATGAACATCTTGACTTTGACTGAAGTCGTGTTCGTGTGCAGCATTCCATTGGAAGCAGGTAAACGTATGTTTGTTCACAAGTAGGCATTAACATCTCTTCAATTCCTTGTATCTTGGCTGGATCTGGCTTCTGGCCATCAGCTGATATGACGAGGCCCATTAGGCTTACTTCACCAGCTATGACGGAGTCTCAATTTATCTTCGTTAAGCTTAATACCTCAATCAAGGCATCACTGCAGTCCCGCGGTATCTTCCCCAGGAGTTGTCAAAGGTGGTCAGCAGACTACTTTCTTTATCAGGCTGAACTGGGCTACACCAGTAAATTACTAAGTAGAGGCAAAGGGTAGCAGTTTCTCTGTAAGACTTTATTCAGCGACTTGAGGTCAATGCAAAAGTGTATCTTGCCATGTCTTCTTGTTGCCACTACTTGAGATGAAAGTCAGTCAGTAAGGACAGCTACTGGTACAAATATGCCTTTCTTCTCTCTCTCCTCTTCTGTATAGCCTTTATTCAACTATTCTCTCACCTAAACAATACCAGCTCTGGTTTTACCACAGGATCACCCATCAATAACCACCTACTCTACATGGATGATGACCTCAACGTCTATGCCAGGAGTGACCAAGAGCAAATTAGCTTCTTAACCCTAGTCAAGGGTTTTAATAACGAAATACCCCCCCCCCCCTAGCATCTGGATTATTGGAGAGGATCGAATGAAAAGGAAAAAGCAAACCTTCCCGCCCAAGAACAAATGAAGCAACGGTCTATTTAAGTTGCTCGATGAATTGTGAGATGATTATAATGCTGTATTTTATGTATTAAATAATTTAGTAGATTCTACAGTATCTGTATTCCTTGGATTTTACCTTGTATTTTTATAGCTTAGTATACTTATTTGTTATTTTATTATTTATTTATTTATTTATTATTTAGAGGGCCACAAGTTTATTAGCCTCGGCTATTTCGTGTTAACCCTCATTAAATAAAGTCTTTACATTACAAGAAGGGAAACAATTGCAAGGGCAATACCCAAAATGAATAGGTAAGAAAGACTTTGACCGACATACGGCCAACAGACGGCTCAAAAACAGCAGGGTTAAGTCTTAAACAGAGGGTTTATCACTGTTTTTCAAGATCAGGCCATCATGACCAACTACTGTGGGAGCAAAATCCTAGAAAATGGTACAAAACCAGTTTGCAGGATCAATTGTAAAATTTCAGAAATCCGTTGACCATGTTGAAGCCGGATGTTACGAGCAGGCGAAACAGAATAACTACATAAGCAGAACAAGGCAGCCATATTCCACTTGAACATCTGGAAAGAAGTCAACATCAACAGACAAGGTTTGTGGTCGTAAACAGTGTCAAGGAAAAATGATATCAAATTCTTATGAGATAAGCCATCAGACCAGACACCGTCATCAAGAACAAAAACTAAAAAAAAAGCCGTTTACTCGTCGAGATATCAATCCAAAGGACAAGAACACACTGGTGAAAGTCAGGGGGAAAACTGTACAAAGAAAAAGACCTTGCCGAAATAGAGGTCAAAAGAATAGGTAATGGAAGCCATAACAGTACCAGTGGTTATAGGAGTCCTGTGGTTTGCAAGAAAGGGATGGAGAAACACCCAAACGATTCTGAGTGACATCAAAATACAGGAGCTACAGAACGAAAAACTCAGTAGTTGAGGTGTGGATGAGCTGCATCACTGATTAGAATACAAAAAGACTAGACAAAAGTCATGATTCAAAGATGTGCTGATGTGGTATCAGAGAAATACCGGAATTAGTGATCACTCCTGGGCGGCGAGAGAAACGTCATATCCAAGGAAATATTACTGCATCATAGAGAAGTCGATGAAGGAGGAAAAAAAAGGCTAAGTAATGGTCCATGACTTCGCGGGACTACATGCACACCTGGAAAAACCGGCAAGTCTTTTAATCAAACTTCGTTAACATCATTAACCAGGAAAAGAAAAAAACAAGCTCCTATAATTTGGGTTTGAGAGTGACCAGTTGTTGAAAAGGCCACAATGCTGAACAGTCAGCAAGTTTTTTGGGGGAAAAAAAACAATATTGAAGATACCCAATGAGTAAAATTTCCCCCAAATCTTTAGACAAAGGAAATTTAAACCATGGAAATTAATAAATGACATAACAATCAGCTTATTAATACAAACAAATCTTATAAATCTTATCATTTCAGATTAAATGGTCNACAACGCGCCAATTCCGTTCCGCTTCGCATACTTCTGTCACGCACTCCCCGTAAATAAATATCCGCGAAATTTGCCCGCACTGAAATAACAGTTTGGCGTGTTGGATAATAAATAACTTATTAGACGTTTTGTTGTGTAGTATCGCTGAGTATTTTTACTCGTTATTTGTAGGAAAAGTGTTCTTTACACCAGCCCTAAGGGCTCGTCAAAATACGGCACAACTCGTAAAAATACTCAGCGATACCACACAACAAAGCGTCTAGTAAGATATATATATTCCACAATCTTGCATCTTAAAAAAAGTGAAACATCCTAAAAAAAATGTAGGTCTAAATTTTCGGTTTTTTTAATACTTACCTCAGAGTGATTACTTTCAGAAAAGTTAGACTTACATTGAAGATTGATTCCGAGTAGGGCTTCCCTCCTCCTCCTGTCCCTTGCCTTCCTTGTCCACTTCCTTGTCCACTTTTTGCTGAGGTTTAAAAAAGAAAATCATGGTGTAAAGAACACTTTCCCTCTGTTGTTAAAAAGTGACAGCAACTACAGTGTTGTGCAAAAGTAATGCAAACAAAAATCACCGAATTTCGTTCATTGTTCTTCCAAAGTTTCATCAAACTTTCGTATGAAAGATTCTCACCTACAATCCAAACAATTTTGCCAGAACAAAGAGCAATGTTTCCTGTAAATGTGTAGGTGGTAGGGGGGGGGGCCCTCCCACTAAACATCAGAGTAGATCATCACATTTTATCCTCTAACAACAGAAGAATACAGCACTTTGTACTGATCTTAATGACCTCTGTCTTTCTCTCCTCAGCTTCTCTTAAAGACCCCATAACAACCAGGGAAGACCCTTCATGCATATTACTCGATGTTTCACTCATCAACACAGCAATGAATTGTCCATGGTAACATCTCAAATACAAAAGCTTTAATTTGAATGTTTTTTCCTTTGAGCCAAGTAATATTAAGGATAACCCTTTCACTTCAAATTATGTAATATGCACACAATCTGCTGCACACTGAAGATCGAGCCAGCTGTCTTTCAAACAAAATGCACTCAACTAAATCGGTTTGGCTCAATTTCAAGGTTGTTTTGTCAAAAAAGAAAATATTAGAAATGCTATCCCAAGACAATACAGCCAGCAAGAAAGGTGAACTTTGATGGTGCATTACATGTATACACATGTACAAGAACAACAGAAAGGACAGGTCAGGTAAGAGAGGAGTGCAAAAAGAGTGCGCACAACATTAGAGATGATGATCCTGCATTCAAATACCTATGCAGCCATTCAATTGGTTACTTTTCATCACATGATAACCAGTGTTTCTTGTAAACAATTTATTGCATTCCCATATAGTGTTGTCAGGACAAAACTAGTCAAAGGAATCCCTCATTTTTGCCTGAATGTCCCAAGCATAAAGGGAGACCAAAAGGAAGGCAAAGTGAGCACTTCATTTTTTGTGCTTCTCTTCATGCCGGTTTATAATTGTGTTTTGCACTAACATTGCTATCTCTCTACTGACTTAAATGTCTTAGAAAAATTACACCTGATCTACGGTGTTAAACCAGGATTTATTTCTTTACAGACTGAAACACTCAAACTTATGGATAATGTAAGGAGTTTTTTTACCTCAGGTCACAAAATATCATAACTATTATTGTAAGTGTCAATTAAAGTATGAGAGTTATAATATAATAATAACAAGCAAAGTCTTAGGTAGAGGTGGTTTAGCTGTTTTACCTCTGAGGCAATGTCCTCTCTTTGTCTTTCACCTGTTTCAGCCTTTTCAGGTGTGTTAGTAATTGCTGCAGAACTTCTTTCCATAAATCCTGTTCCTTTTTCGTCAGCCTTTACTAAGTCCCTGTTATCTGGATCAGTTGTAGCTGGAGTCTCCTCCTGATTACTTTCTGATGATAACCCTGGGCTTTCTTCAGCTGCAGCTTCCTCCTGTTGAACAGGGGAATTAGCACTGTGGTTGTTGGGCACCTGCATTGGTCCCAGTTGTTGGCTGAGAGAGGACTCATTTTGATTTGTTTCTGTGTCAGTCCCATTCTGTTGCAGACTTTCACCTGAAGGTAAAAAATTGAACATGCAATCATCAGTGGGATTTGAACAAAAGATGTTTTCACATCTTTTCTTTGCAGAAGGTGTGATACCAAAATTTACCAAAAAGTAAAGATTTTAATGACTAGATTGGTTAAAATCACCAACAGTTGGCCTCCAGTAAACAATTAGATTAGGTGTAAGGTTTAGATTAACTAAGTCTGACTTGTGGTATTTTATGAGCAGTTTTTCCTTTTTTAAAACAGAAAAACACAATTTTAAGACATCTGAGTATAAACACAAGCATGACAAAACAGTTCACCAAATTTCTAGTAAAAAAATGTCTGGCTGTCACTTAATTGAGAAATTCAAGCAGAATTAGCAAAAAAGGACTCAACAAGGCTCAACTGCATCAGTATCAAATATTTCTAACTAAAGTTCAGACTGTCTGAAAAACTTTGGTGGCCATGCAATCCTAAATTTTTTTGCATCACTATATAATAATGATAGCAAAATACAATAACCAAATTGACAATGAAGAGGAGAATTAGGGCTCTGGACACCAAATAGACTCAAACCCAAAACGCATAGTGTATGAACAGTCTGATATCCAACTACTGTGAAACCAAGAAAACCATAAATATGCCCAATACATTTTGTAGACCTGAATGTAATGTAAACTTTGGCATACAAGCTGCACCTTTTTTCCCAAAATTTCATAACGAATTGGGATGTGGGTTATCTGCAAGATCACCTGAAAACATGCTGCAAATTTGCATAAATTAACACTACTCATGAAAAACTTACAAGTCTGTATAGCAACCTAACAAGAATTTCATAAAATATCATTTATGGACAGAGATTTATCATTGCTTTGCAAGTTTGGTGATCAGTATCACTCCTGCCATGTTCACTGTTTAATATGTTTTTCAGCATCCAATGTAAAGCTGCTGTGGTGGTTTTTTAATGTGACTGTCAAGACCCTATATGTGGCTAAAAGTGTTGAACATAAGGTCCTTTTAGTGGCAAACATTCCATAATATTCTACACTAAGTGTCCTAATGATGCTTGATAAAACACTTCCTAAATTGTTTAAAACATGTGGGCACTGTAATGTTAGCCAACACTAAGTCGAGACTCAATTGATATATCAGTCAAGATTTATGTTAGCCAATAAGGCTTTTAGTTCACCCATACTTCACCATACTTCACCAATGCTTCAGCAATACCTCACCGATGCCTCACCGATTTCTCATCAATAATTAGCCAGCAATTCACCCAGTATCAGTCAACAGTTGATCAACACTACCGGTAAGCCAATTGTCAAATTTATCCACACCCTGTCAATGTTTAAGACCCAATCCATAGTCGTGAGATACTTGAAGTAATGCATAATAATCAGTTAACACTCAGTCAATACAGTCAATTGATACATTTTGGTCAAAAGTCAGCTGATAGTAAATTGATACATCTTTTGTGCCTGTCTATATAGTTTTTATTCCAACTATCAAAAGCAGTAAAGGTAACAAATAATGGGAAAAGTTACCAAAATATTGAATGATTTGTTAAAAACACATCAGTTTAACTTGGTTTTGACCCAGATGTAAGAGGAAAGGAACCCTTTAGCTATCCTCACAGATATATTTAACACTTGACCCATGGATATTCTTGAAAAATACGCCTATGGGCATTTCCTGGTCAGTTATAAGTCCAAACTAATTAAAAAGAAACATGACAGCATACCTTTCTTTGCACTGACATCCTGTTTGTGACTTAAATTATTGCATGGGCATTCACAAAAGTCAAACGAAACCTTATAAATAGGTATTTCAGCTTTTTTTGTTTTTGTTTTGTTTTGTTTTATTTTGCTTTTTCTTTTTCTCCTGTTCTTGTCTTTTTGCTACAATTGCTGACTTTCTACTGGGCTTGCATTCAGTTCAAGAATTGAAGTGGTGACTCTGATTTTTTCCACATTAAACCAGAGGCACTGTGCCAGTTTGTCAAAAGATGTGGCTATCCTCTTTCAAGCAGGCCACCACTGCACCTAACTAATTGTGTAGCGATCGAACCCAAAGCGATACAACGACTTACTTGCTAAGGACACAACACCAAGACGGGGATATTATTTTACGGACAGAAACACTTGAATCAAATTAATTTATTCGACTAAAGATTCAAGGTCATATTGTAAGTTAACTGAAATACAAGCACAGAAACTAAGCTAATCTTATGCGTTCGAGACTAACATATAACATTCCAATCATTCCATTATGATGAGATTCTCAATTTGGGTAAAACTTAAAAACTTGAACAAACAAGGTAATTAAAGGATTCAATTCTAACATATAGCACAGCAATATAAGGGAAATCAAAAGTGAATAGGGCGAGACAATTTGTTCATTGTAAGTGTCCCGATGTATATTAATAGGGCCTGAACTGGCATAAATAAAAAATCGCAAGATAGACAATACTCTTTAAGTCTAGAAGAGCCAATCAAGGCTATCTAGCCTGCTAAGCTTCAAAACAATGTGATAAATATACCAAAACTAGGGTAGGCAAGGCAAAATGTAAACTCAAGACATGTAGAAGACTTACAAACGAAGAGTGATATATAAAATTGTTTTGTTCCAGAAAACTAGAGAAACTGACGAGTAGGTTAAAGGTTTGGAGATTCATGTTAAAAACTTACATAACAGTCCCACTTGTTAGTACTTGACCGAAGACGACTTCAAAGTAGAGGCAAGTTATGCTTCTAAAACTTGACTTCTCACTTGCCTAACTGAAAACCAACTGACTAAATGCATTTTGAAGGGGCTACATGAAAGCACGTTTCTAACCCAGATCAATGAACTATTGTAACTTCATATTTGCGGTTAACATGAACGAATCAAGATAAGCCTATATATGTACAAAGTCCAGGATGAGGCGTGGCATCCGCTACAAATTGATTAACAGTCAGCACTACAAATGACACTTAAGGAAAATTCTGACCACATTCCATTAACTCTCACCTTTCACTCTCACAACAACGCAGTTAAATCTATCATTCTTAAAATCTTTAAATTACTTCAAAACAATTCAGAGACTCAGGCACTATCTTTTCACAATCTCCACTTATTTCATTCAACAATGACAATAACATGGGCAACTTTTTGGTCAGAGTTCACTACAAACTATAATGACCAACCCAGAACTTTCAAATGTGCTCACTCACAATACAAAACTTATCCTTTCATTCACAATGTTGAGAAAATATCTGGACCCACATGATCAATTAAGATTACTGATCACTTAATTAATTCATGTGCACCTCCTTGCACATTCAGTCAAATAACCTACTCATAAGTCTAATAAACCCAATACATCTTACAAATTTCTATCTGAGCTTACTTTTGAGTGTAGAAGTCCTCCTTTAGGAAAAGGAAGGAGCTTATTTCTTCTTTGAACCTACTTAACTGAACTCTGAATTCATTCAGAACCACTCAAAACAGCTGTAGAGCACGTCAGTTCAATAGATTGAGCAGAGACCTTTCCCAATCTTTGCCATTCAATCTCAACCACTCTTTTGTATCTCTCACAATCTATTATGCATAATTAGCAGATGCCAACACAATCCCTTCAAGTGTCACGAGGGATGCTGAATGTGAACAAACACAAGAACAGTATCCACTGTGAATGCATAAATGACCTTTGTGAACTAGCGCAGCCAATTTCTACATTTTTTGGTTGGAAAGCCTGAACTTATAATTACTACCTAACTGTACATTTAAATTGTAAATTTTTAATTATGTTGCTCAAACCTCAACGTACTTGGGAAAAAATTCCATAATTAGCTATTATATAGTAACGAATCAAGGCTGATAGTTTCGAAAGAAACTGTTTGGGGCTGCATCAGTGGTTATATATAGTAACTATATGTAGCCTTTTTTTTTTTTAAGCTAACAGGATGCTTGCTCAAAATCAAATTAGTCTACCTTTATGACCCTTATACCCAACGACTGTTCACAGATGTTTCCTCCCCTCCAGAGTTTTAGAAGGGGAAGATGGTTCCAGCTGAGAGTAACCAGCTTATATCAAATCATAATTGATGGAATAAACTTGTCAAAGGGGTATGGACAAAACATGGACCCCCACTTTGGACCCAGTCCATGGACCCCTTTTCGTGGACCCTATATAAAAATATAACATTTTTTGTTTTGCAAGTTTTTTTTTGGTTTGCAAGTACTTACTACAATTTGGATCATACCGGCTACATCTGATACGATAAAACCAACTACTGTCTTTCCCACAGCAAAAACAACGCATGATTTTTGTGCCAGAAATTCGAGTCACTTTGTTCACATGCTACTCTATTTTTGCAACCAAAAAACAACAAAGAATCTAAGAAACAAAAGCTTTAATTAAACATTCAACTTATTTTCAATGAGAAAATCATAGGTGCATATTAAGTTTTTACTCTAAAATCAAGATGAATTAGACAGTAATCGCTAAATATTTATGTAAGTGTGCAAACTGGTTTGGGGTTCAGATTTCATTAGTGAATATCCAAATTTGGCCCTGCGCGAAGAGATCTCATATTACATGGAACTCTTCAAAGAAGAGCAAGCTGAAAGGAGAAAGATTAAAAGGGAGCAAGAAATATTTCAGGACGAAAGCTTTCTTCAAAACTGTTCTTGATTCGCTTTTATTAGCAAAAAACGTGCATGTACAAAGTGCACGCAGTGGAATTCATCATGTTTGTATTGTCGGATCGGATGTAGCCAGTATGATCCAAATTGTAGTAAGTACTTACAAACCAAAAAAAAACTTGCGAAACAAAAAATATCATATTTTTATATGGGTCCACAAAAAGTGTCCATAGACCGGGTCCAAAGTGGGGGTCCATGTTTTGTCCTTACCCATTGTCAAAGTAACAATTAATTAACAACTGAAAAAATTTTTATGTGTGCGGTCTTAAAACAATTATGTAACGACTTCTTGGGCTGTTACTATTTACTAGTCTATGCACTGAAAGGAGACTTAATTTCACACACATGTTAAAAGTAAACCCCTTTTAGGGAGAAGAAATAGCTTGGGGACAAGGGTGGTAAGAATACAATACAATACTTTTTTATTTGTTATTTGACAATAAATCCTTATTTCCCAGCCTCCGCAGATAGCAGTGCTAATCGAGGCGGGCCAGGATAATCAGTACGTTTTGTCCACATGCACCCTTAATGTCATAGTTTGGTCTTGTTTTCTTAGAATATTGTTATTGACCAGACTTTGACCAGACTTCAGGGTCCAGTTATAGAATGATTACACAACAGCAAAAGTGTAACACCACTGGGCTTTCATTTTTCACTTCCTTCTTAAACATACGATTTGAAATTCACATAACTTGAAGTACTATTTGTTTGACATGCTGGTCAAACATGTGGGTACAATTACTAAACTCAGGATACAATTCTCCCTTGGAAATTTAAAGCACAGATAAGTTATACTCTGTCAGCTTGTGGAACACTATTTCAAAAGCAGAATGACTGAAAGGATTTTAAAGTTTTCAATTATTCCTGTAACCGTTGCTCCAGACGTGTATGCACCCTTGACACGTCTCAATTGGAAACCTCCATGGGATGACTAAAATAAATTGACAGCTGTCATTGCACTGGGCATTAAATGTATTCAAGGTTGAAACTGGAATCCAAGCTTGAGAAAAACAGATAATATATATTTTCATGACAGATTTTTTTCCTAAAGCACTAAAATTTGGATCGTTCAAACGACATCCGTGTCAAGAGTTGAAAAAATCATATTACTGCAAGGTAAATTTGAGACTTCAAGCAGACTTAGTGAATTCCTTGCTTTCTTGACATAAATTTCACTAATGAATCCGCAAATATCAGTATATTACCATCTGAGTATGATTTGATCTAAAAAGGAAATCAAAATACGTATGCAATGGATACGTACTTACATTACTTGTTACGGAAGGATGCTTCCGGGTGTGGCGTAATGTCATGCATTGCATGAGGAAATATTCACTTAGCTTGGAGAGCACTTTCACAATCGAAGGGCCCGGAATGATCAACCACTAGAATGATCATGACTCCAAATTTCGATACAATTATACAAAGAAGAAATTTTAAGACTTTTCACGTTGATACTAAAGCTAACTACTTCGCAAATAACCGAATCACTTCCCATGAAACACTTCGATAATTAGTCATCGAACGCCCGACGAAAATTACAATTCGATTTTTGAGCAGGGTTTACACCCACAGAACCACCTTCAAATGGAAAATTTACCTTTACCTTATTCCTCACAAACTTACCGGTGTAATGTTTTCCTTCTGTTCCATCGCCTTTCGGGTGCTCGCTCGTAACAGCTGGTATGATCTCCTTCTCCTTCAGTGAGTTAATTTGATCGGGTGCGAGACGAGAACCACAAAGTGGGCAGAAGGGGAATCCAGGTGGCAAAGTTGTGTTTCCACAATTTGAGCACTTCATCATGTAAAATCACGGCTGCATCTCGTTGTTCAAACGCTATTGTTGCATAGATATGCAGCCATTGAAGAGGTAGTTATAAGACATGCAATCGCATTGAAACGATCCTTGGAATAGCAGAGTCGTTTCTTAGAAATCAAGCGGAAGTGGCTGGAATGCGAGACGACATCTGATTGGCTAGCTATCATGCATAATACCTTATACCGCATCCTCGGTGACCCAGGGGCTGTGAGTCGATTTCAAGTCAAGGGCAGAGGAGCCCCTGGGGACATTATTGTCTTACAAGACTAGTTCCAAACGGTCGCACTCGTTCTGGCATCTGATTGGTGCTAGAAAATCTTTGTGTTTTTCTGCCCAATCAGAGTGAAGTGTCCTTTGGAGTCTTTTCGTGTGTTTTAACATGCACATAATGAACAAGCCTGTTGCTCGCTATGTTTGTCTCGGCCGTGCGACGAAGCTTTGCCCGAGGGGAAAAGTTTCAGTCGCAGCACACAATGTAAGAGAAATCGATTAGATTGTCCGCGAAATCTTACTGGAAATTATACTGAATACTTTCGCAGGTATCACAAGAGAACGTGTTTAAAAGTTTGCGAGATTCGTGTAAAACATAATTGTTGCAAGCATTGATATGTCGCTTTAAACGTTTGATGAGATGTAAGCCTAAATCTCTCAAGATTTTTTGTATAATTTGCTGTAACTGAAACTTTTCCAATCCCGTGAAGCTATTTCGTCGCACGGGCCACGCAGGTATGTCGAGCAACTGG